TGATAAACAGGAGGGGACACACTAATATGATAGCAGGAGGGAGCACACTAATATGATATGCAGGATGGAGCACACTAATATGATATGCAGGATGGGGGCACACTAATATAATATGCAGGATAGGGCACACTAATATGATATGCAGGATGGGGCACACTAATATGATAAGCAGGAGGGGATCACACTAATATGATAAGCAGGATGGAGCACACTAATATGATATGCAGGATGGGGCACACTAATATGATATGCAGGATGGAGCACACTAATATGATAAGCAGGAGGGGATCACACTAATATGATAAGCAGGATGGCATCGCACTAATATGATAAGCAGGATTGAGCACACTAATATGATATGCAGGATGGGGGCACACTAATATGATATGCAGGTGGAGCACACTAACATGATAAGCAGTAAATTTATTAACAGATTAACAACAAAGCTTATAACTAAAATTAAAACAAGGAAGAAAACTATGAGCAATCTTAAGAATCTTAAACAATTACACACTAAAAGTAAATACAAGATATTGCTTAGATTTGATGACGAGGAACCCTCTTTTTAGAAAATAAACGTTTTGAGACGGTTTTTAATGGGTAATATAAAACTTTATTCTAAATGTGCAACGTTTCGAAAAGATTATGTCATCCTCATGTACAAGTATGTGCAACGTTTCGAAAAGATTATGTCATCCTCATGTACAAGTATGTGCAACGTTTCGAAAAGATTATGTCATCCTCATGTACAAGTATGTGCAACGTTTCGAAAAGATTATGTCGTCCTCATGTACAAGTACTTTACATAGACACAGGAATTATACATACAGCTTGGAGTAACGAGGTCACATGACCGGAGATTGCTTAACAGCTTAGTAAAGGTATCTTTGGTGCATCGGAGTGTTGGTTTAGAGTAGGCCTGTTTTGTTCAATTAATATATCTTCCTTTATTTTGCGTTTATGTTTGGTTCTTTGTTAAAAATTGCAATGTTTTATATATATATATTGTGTTGTTCTTGTTGTTGGTTGTTTTAGTTGCAATGGTGGTAAACGTGGGAGGGTTTTTTATTATGTTCGGTGAATCTGGTTTCCAATTTTCTTCCGGTTTCTCTGATGTACAATTCTGGACAGTTTTTAAGCATTAGTTTATAAATGACGTTGGGATTGTGTATTTTGTATTTAGTAATGATTTGAGTTTAGAGCTTGGCTTTTGAGTGAATTTGAAGTCAACAGAAATTTTATGTTTAATGGCAAATTTTCTCCAAGTGTTGAAACGACTTTTCTGTGTTCTTTAATATACTTATAACAAACACTAAACACATAGCCTATTATGTAGTTTTGTGTTTACAGTTTACCAAACAATTGTTTAATCAGAAGTATATGCCAAAATGGCATTTTGTCAGGAGTTTGAAGTGGTTACTTGAAAAAAGATTGTATTTTAATTTGTTTTTTACAGTGCGAGTGTATTGCAGAACTATCAAGGTTTTTTCCCGTTTTGAAAATAATCCCACTGTTTGTTTTTGATAGACTCCAACACTCGAAGTGGCGTGTTCTGAATGTTGGTATTTCAGCAGTTCGTGAAATCTGTTGGATAAAAAGACAACTTAAAAATGATTGTAATTTGAAGAGCCCGTGAGTGAAAGCAAAGGAGAACATGTTATAACATGTTAACCACGCTACATCTGTCATGTCCAGTTCCGACGAGGCCTTTCGCCCAATACCAGGGCCTCATCAGGCTGGCTAGGATACGAAAGACAAAGCAGTGATCTAAGCGATATATATATATATATATCATCATCATCAATTTTTATGAACGGCAACCGTTAGGGTATCTATCAGATTACGCAAGTCATTTGTTATTACTGGATATTTTATATAACTCGTTTATAAATCATGTTTTCAGTTTACACGTCATTATATGTTTTAACACTGTTTCATTATTATGATTTGAATTTACTTTATTACAATTCACAAGAACTAAGCGAACCAGCAAGCAAATATTGTTCCCGGAGTGGGTCACGCAACCAGAACCAATAACCTAGTATTGTTCCCGGAGTGGATCATGCAACCAGAACCAGCAAGCTAGTATTGTTCCCGGAATGGGTCATGCAACCAGAACCAGCAAACTAGTATTGTTCCCGAAGTGGGTCATGTAACCAGAACCAGCAAGCTAGTATTGTTCCCGAAGTGGGTCATGTAACCAGAACCAGCAAGCTAGTATTGTTCCCGAAGTGGGTTATGTAACCAGAACCAGCAAGCGAGTATTGTTCCCGAAGTGGGCCATGCAACCAGAACCAGCAAGCTAGTATTGTTCCCGAAGTGGGTCATGTAACCAGAACCAGCAAGCTAGTACTGGTCCCGGAGTGGGTTTATGTAAGAGGTCATCTCATTATATTTTAGAGGAGATGCATCTCCGTTTGTTCTTTCATCCTTGAAGTATTTGCTTCCATGAGTAATCATCTCATTACGTTTTAGAAGAGAAATTATGTCCTGTTTGATTTTTAGTCCCAGAATAAGTATTTGTTTACATAAGTAGTCGTCATATTACGTTTTTCATTACGTCTCTTGTTTATTCTTTCATCCCACGAGAAGTGTTTGATTATATAAGAGGTCACCCCATTGCGTTTTAGGGGAGATAGCATCTTCTGTTTGTTCTTTCATGCACGCATCTATTACACTGATAAAGCTATACACAAATAGCGTGTATGTCTAATATAAAACATGGGAGACAATACAAGCCCTTGGGAACTTTTGTTGTGTTTAACCTACTTGAAGAAGGAAATTGAGATAAGATAAGCTTGACTTATTCCTGTGGTTAGGGCGCTGGTCTCGCAATGTGTGGGGTCGCGGGTTCGAATTCCGTCACTGAACCTAGTCGCCCTTTCAGCCGTGGGGGTGCTATAAATACTATTCGTTGGTAGAAGAGTATCCGAAGAGTTGGCGGTGGGTGGTGCTGACTATCTGCCTTCTCTCTACTCTATCACTGCTAAATTAGGAACAGCGAGCGCCCTCGTGTAGCTTTGCGTGAACGCAAAACAAATAAACAAACGTATTCCTGTTCACAAGGATGCTAACTAAGTAAACGAAAAGTAAGTTATCAATTTTTAAAAACTCTAGATATATCTAATTAAAGATATGATAAGAAAGCCAAAATAATTTAACAAATCTACCGTCATCAGGATTAAAAGATATAAACAGTACTTCCAAACCTATTAGTTTAATTTCTTTTCTTGTTTCCTCCTTTTTCATTATTTTTAAGCCCCTCATTCCACCACCCCACCCAACTATATGCAGATAAAAAAGTGGCATAGATTTAAGATGTTGTGCGGTTGATTATTCACAACTGTTTCCTCGAGTAAAGTGGGGTTAAACCTGTAGATAATAGTTACTCTACTACTTTGTAGATCCTTCTTGTGTAGATATCTGAGAACCCAAGATATATCGTATAATTTCCTATACTATAGTTTCTAACTTGATGTTGATATTGTTTGTATTGTCTTTTCTGTTGCGTTTCTTTATTTTATTCCTTATTTTCATGGTATACAAATTTAAATAAATACATACTGTAAGTTATAAAAGGTAGTTTTATCTACCCTACATAGATATTAGATTTTCACGATTGTATTTATCTGTGTTTTAGTGTGGTGCAATAATAGAATAATTTCAGTTTTTTTAATAGTTTTTGTAAGTTATGAAAGGTAGTTTTATCTGCCTTACATAAATATTAGATTTTCACGATTGTATTTATCTGTGTTTTAGTGTGGTGCAATAATAGAATAATTTCAGTTTTTTTAATAGTTTTTGTAAGTTATGAAAGGTAGTTTTATCTGCCCTACATAGATATTAGATTTTCACGATTGTATTTATCTGTGTTTTAGTGTGGAGCAATAATAGAATAATTTCAGTTTTTTTAATAGTTTTTGTAAGTTATGAAAGGTAGTTTTATCTGCCCTACATAGATATTAGATTTTCACGATTGTATTT